AAGTTTTTATTAAAAAAATTAAACTTTTTAATAAAAACACAGGCAAATTTGCCTGTGTTACAATTTAAGGGATAGTAGCAAGTTCAAGAAGGCCTCCCTACTGTAACACTATAAAAATTAATTTTGCAAAAAAGTAATCTTTATTTTTAAATATAATTGTACAAAGTTTTATTTAGATATTTTAGCATTTTAAAAAAATAAATTAGAGCTAAAAAAGTATAAAAACACAGGCAAATTTGTCTGTATTAGTCTATATATTAAGAGATAGTATTAGCAATTTATCTTAAGAGTAGTATTATTTATTACCTAATTTTTGTTACTCTTTTAATAATAAAAAATATATATTAATAGTTAATAGAGATTATTTTGAAGTTGCTAAAGTTAAATATATACAAATTGTAATTCTAAAATAATAAATTATCTTTATTATTAAAGAAAGATTTCATATATTTTTGATATAAATCATAACTAAATTTTGGCTAATTTTAATCTAATTTGCTAAAAACTAAAAATTCACTTTTTCTTAAATATTCATAATCCAGTGATCATAATTGAATAAACTTTTTTTTGTAGATGCGCCTCACTGAGAGCTTTTATTTAAAAAAAGTTTATCCAAATTGGATTTCTAGTTGCTAAAATAATTACAAAAAATTGGTTTTTTGTTTTCCAAATTTCAAGAGTTTTTTCTGAATTGTGTAACATATGGTCTATATTAGAGGTGTCCGGGGTCTTATTGGAGGATTACAACTTGATAATAACATCACTTACAAATTTTGATTTTTGATAAATAAAATATAAAAGACAATTTTTAATATTAAACCCGTAGTAAACAGGCATTTTTAAAAAAATTTGTTAATGTTACACATCTAATTGTTTATGACATCGATGTACCATCGTAGGGTCAATCATGACAAATATAAAAAATAATCCTTGCTTTTACTAAATTAAGCCATACATCTCTTAACTATACAGTATATATTCCTAATCTGTTGAGTCAATTCAAGTTTCAAGAATTCAGTGATATTCTTGAAAATATCTCCGCTTAAAAATGGAATCAAACTCCGAAAATGTCCCTTCACAGAATAATGAACGTCAACGAAAAGTACAATCTCTAAACGTGTCAACTTTACCGGGACTAATAAATTTTGATCCAAGTTCTCCTCCTAATTCACCGAATTCACCAAAAAAATCGCGCCCAATGTCTATGTTTATTCACCCTCAGGAAAGACTAGCTTCAGAACAAACAACTAATTCCGCAATGGTGGCTCCGGAAGCCTCCTATTCAAATAATAATGTTCCCTTTTCGTTTCCACCTGCTACAAATTCAGAGGTTGACGTCGCCTCTGTGAATTCTTTCAGAACCATCGATACAAATCAAACCGGTGATCATGAAAGTTTGTCTTCAGATATCACAGACCGTGCGAACGAACCACAGGGTTTGATTAAATTACTTTGCGAAATTGATGTACGAACATTTGAATGATTTTAATGTTTCAATCACATGTTGATTCATGACTTCTATAACCAACTTGTATGATCTATAATATTAGGGAGGTCTTGGAATCGCTCTCGAACGAGTTAAGCAATGCTCATCATCGGCTAAAGCATGTATACTTTTATTTTTTCATTCAATTTTTTTTATGTTCCAATAATAATTTGAATTTCTATAAATCACTACTTTAGGAAACAGCAACTTTTTTGAAAAAAAGGGCAGCAATTGAAGATGAATATGGAAGAATGATGATTAAGCTGGCTAAAAGTATGCAGGAAGGACATCATACTAATGATACAAAACAAGGGTATGTATTATATTACGTTACATAGGGTTTGTTTATTTGTTTAATATTGTGCTATAAATTTCTTACGTTTGCATAAAACAGCTCGTATGGTGAAAATTGGCTTTACATGTTGAAACTACATGAATCTATTGGCGAAAATAGGGTTAAATTTGCAGCAGCAATTCAAGAGATATCTGAAGAAATAACGGCGCTTTATAAGGAAACAGATAAAAGTAGAAAAAATGTATGTTCGCATAAAGTAGGCTTATTTTATTTTTCTTTAAACTTAATAAAAATGTTAATTTATGATTAGCTTAAAGATTCGGGTCAAAAACATGAAAGAACAATTCAAGATGCAGAACAAGCTTTGGAAAAGGTTTATTTATCATGGTTTAATTGTATATTCTTAGTATTATTAAGATGGAATTTCTGATATAAATATCTTATGTTTAGGCTAAAAACAAATATGAGACACATAGTGAAGACTGGGAGCGCACAATTTTAATAAAAAATGGTGAAGTAGTTCCTAGTTTGAAACCAAGAACTTTAACAAAAGCTATTTTTTCTAAGCAGCCAAAGTCTCCCACACAGGTATAATTTAAAATATTGATAAATTTAATATCTTTATGAATTTTTATAAACGTGCATATGTGACATTTCTTCTAGCTGGTAAAGATGGAAGAAGATGCGAGGAATAAAGCAGCAACTGCCAATGATACTTATAAACATCATTTATCAATTACAAATGCGGCTCGGCACGAATATTTTGATATACATTTACCTCGCATGGTTACGGTAATAACTTACATTCTATGATAGTAATCCATTTGTTAATTATTTCTCATTAATAATATAGTTAGCATGGTTTTATTTAAGGCACTCAAAGATATTTCCGACGAATGTGATATAGGCCTACAATATCATCTAGCTCGTTATACCTACCTTTTTGAGAATACTATGGTAAGCGACGCATTGGTTATAAGTCCCGTCAATACCGAAGATGGTAACTATTTTATGTAGTTATTTTGGAATAAGATTAAGGTAGCATTAAATAATTCACTAATTGCAATTATTTATTGATTTATTTATTTACTTTTTTTGTAGGTCCTTCTATGCGAAAGATCGTTGAACAGATCAATAACGAAGAAGACTATTACTCATATGTACAAACATGCAGTGCAAAAGCGAAAAAAACGAAACACCATGATATCCCATACGATCGATATAATATGGTGTGTTTACAATAAATCGTATTATTAGTTCTTTAATTGTTTAGTATTTACGTATTAATTCTTTATTTTTATTTATTTACTTATTTATTTATTTATTTGTTTTTATTATTGAGTCTGAGCAAGCAATTAATATAATAAATCCAAAAAATATTTTTGGAGTTGACTTGGCTGAACAAATGCGAAGAGATAACCATGAAGTTCCTTTGATTTTAATTAAGTGCGCAGAAGCAATTGAGCGAAATGGCGGTAAAAGATGTTAAAAATAATTAAAGTCAAGTTTTTATTCATATATTTCAACATATTGATTTCAAGTTTGTGAACACCAAATCAAACTTCGCTAGGACTTGAAAGTCAGGGCATTTATCGTGTTTCAGGTGTTCAATCACATATTCAAAAGTTGCGGGCATCATTTGACAGAAGTGTGTATTTTAAAATTATTTACAAATCTTATATTGCCAAAACAGCGTATGTTTATTCGTAAAGTTTTCTTCATTAGACGCGGAAGCTGTAGACTTGAATGCGGAAGAATGTTTTTCAGATGTTAATAACATCACTAGTGTCTTAAAACTATGGTTTCGTGAATTACCGGATCCACTTTTTCCAAGAGAAATGTATCAAAATTTTATCAATGCCGCAAGTATGTTCATTTAAAATCGTTGTTTTTTTTTTTATTTGAATGTGTAGTTAATCCATAATTTTAACGATTATCTTTTAAAGAAACTCCTGACGAAAAAAAACGTGTTCTAGAACTACACGAATGTGTCAATAATCTTCCAGATCCAAATTATAGCACTCTAAAATATTTAATGGGACATTTACATAAGTATTTATTTGTCTATTTTCCTATAATATTTACCACTTTGAAGCAATTTCTAACAGGAGCATTTCACTGCAGAATTGTTCAGAATCAAGATATAAATAAAATGAACGTTCAAAACCTTGGAATCGTGTTTGGGCCAACATTGATGGGCAGTCCCGCAATTTCAAATCCAGTATCATTACAAAATTCAAGTACTGCACCTGTAGCACCCTATGTTGCTTCAGATGGTGGAGGGTTTAACGATATGGGTTGGCAATGTAAAGTTGTTGAAATTATATTGGAAAATTACATTGCTATATTTGTGTGAGTATCTACTGTGAGTTTTGTTGTAACAAGAATAATTAACTTATGGAATTTTTTTAATATAGTGAGTAGAGGTTGAAGAGTAATTCAAGCTCCTTAAAGAAAATATAGTGGATCTAGGAATGATTATAAGTAGTTATGATTTTATAACCTTGTTTTTTCTATTTCAGGCAAAAATTTGTTATTGTATTATTCTTGAATTTTTTTCTTTTTTCCCTTTTTTTTTTTTTTCTTTTTTTTTTTTTTTTATTGTTTACTATGTAAATTTCTTTTTTCTTTGTAATTTAGGCTAAATTAAATTTTGTTTTTAATCATTTTGATAAG